CAAGGCATCATATGCAAAAATACATGAGAAACCAGTGCTTTTGTTCAAATAGCGAAGCCTCCTCAATTCAAATGGTTGTAAAAAACACATAGTTGATGATTTTTTAAAAGGAAAATTTATTTATAGAGCCTTTTAAATAACTCTAGTAACACATGCTTTTGTTTTTAAAGAAATAGCTTTTAAAAAATTCATCATTACAGCTTCTTGGTTAAATGAAATGTATTTCGATTCTGTGGATTAAAATACAGAATGCATTGGCCCCATCTCATTTTATTTTGTCACCGACTTTTGGTATGATATTTAAAAATGCGTGACTGACGTTTCTTAAGCCATTAAGCCTTTTTTTTATTGAAAAAAAATTATTGCATGAACTACATTCCCAGGAACAACTTGAATAACCTAAAAGAAAAACCTGCATTGCATGTTCAATAGTGCAATTTACTTAGCTACTGTATAAAACACTTTTTTACAGAGAATACAAAACCAAATAACTAGTTTACCGATTATATGCGCCAGAGTATTATTTAGTTTTAAAGGAACTAAAAATTCTTTTAAAATGTAATCCAGTGGCATTTTTCAAATTTTGCTTCCTTGCAATCCTTAAATGAAGAACTGCATAACAAATAGACAAAGTCTGTATTCAACAGAACATCTTAATATATAGATGTTCTGTGATTACGGCCACTTTCCTCCCAGTATAAACACATTTGACTCCTGTTGGTGAGAAAAGAACTGCATCTTGGAAAGTTACAGCTGATGTTTGACACTTGTAGGACAAGACTGGGCATGTTGGAACCTTGACAAGATTAAATTTGATGCTTTGTTAGAAATACACAATCAGTAAAGCCTATTGGGGGGTACAGATCAGGAGAGGCTTTGGGTATTTAGGGGAGGAAGTTAAATCCTCCCTTTTTCATTTCCTAATTTAAATTTCCAATTTTGGATCTGAGGAAATACAATTTGGTGGGGGGATGGGGGAATAAATTTAAATAATGAAAATGGTGTTGGGTTAAATCCTTCTCTTCTGGTGTCATTACTCCAATCCAGTGGTTCCCAACCTTGGGTAATCCAGGTGTTCTTAGACTGAAATTCCCAGAAGCCTTCACCATCAGCTGTACTGTGGGGTTTTCTGGAAGTTGCAGTCCAAGAATACCTGGATTACCCAAGGTTGGGAGCCACTGCTCCAGTCTGATGCTTGAAACTTTAAAACTTGCCAGTAACTTTACAAGTTCAAGTTGCTTTGCAACTTTAAAAAAGAAGCACCACCCTGTATTTTTCTGTAGCATCAGAGACACTTCTCTGTGGATCTCACCACTGAGTTAAATGGAAAATATTTTGTCGTTGGATTAAAATGCTTGGACAAATCCACCCAATCCTTGGTTGACCATAACACAGTATGATTAATATATACAAGAGCCAGAGTTGGGTAGTGGATAGAGTAATGGACTAAGACTCAAGATACATATGTGAGTTCAAGTCCCTGCATGGACATGAGAGCTCAAGGGGTCTATGTGGAACTATTAAAACCACTCCTTAGATATCACACATACTTGACAAACCTGTTATGGTTACCATGAGTCAGATGTGATTTGATGGCATGTAACACAGAGAGTTATCCTTATGATCCTTCTAGGGAGGTACCGATCATTATAACACATATATGAGTAGGAGTGGTGTGTGCATCTGTGTGCAGTGCATTTTTCTTCTTCTTTGGTAGAATGGTCACATAGGCATTGCCAAACAAAAAGGTGAAAGGGGTGTTATCTTTGCATAAATTTGCATTTGACATACAGACCAAGGGCAGATTCCCGCAAGGTTTCTGTGTTCATGTAAGTTTTTTTGTGTGTAACCTAACTGTGCAATGGAAATGCATCCCTGCAGCTTGTCAGTTAGCCACAGTTAGCTATAAACACCAGCAAAGTGCTACCCAAGTGCTATTACAGTGGTGCCTCGCTTAACGATTACCTTGTTAAATGACAAAACCGCTATATGATGACTGTTTTGCGATCGCTTTTGAATGCAACGCACATACCTGTCCTTTTCAAGGCTGTGTTGTCCAGAAAGCTACATGGATTTTCCAATCTTTAATATAGGGATAAATTTTCCATAGGAATTTGTATGTCTTCTACAATCGTTGTGGGATTCTTTCATGCAGAATTCAAGGCATCATATGCAAAAATACATGAGAAACCAGTGCTTTTGTTCAAATAGCGAAGCCTCCTCAATTCAAATGGTTGTAAAAAACACATAGTTGATGATTTTTTAAAAGGAAAATTTATTTATAGAGCCTTTTAAATAACTCTAGTAACACATGCTTTTGTTTTTAAAGAAATAGCTTTTAAAAAATTCATCATTACAGCTTCTTGGTTAAATGAAATGTATTTCGATTCTGTGGATTAAAATACAGAATGCATTGGCCCCATCTCATTTTATTTTGTCACCGACTTTTGGTATGATATTTAAAAATGCGTGACTGACGTTTCTTAAGCCATTAAGCCTTTTTTTTATTGAAAAAAAATTATTGCATGAACTACATTCCCAGGAACAACTTGAATAACCTAAAAGAAAAACCTGCATTGCATGTTCAATAGTGCAATTTACTTAGCTACTGTATAAAACACTTTTTTACAGAGAATACAAAACCAAATAACTAGTTTACCGATTATATGCGCCAGAGTATTATTTAGTTTTAAAGGAACTAAAAATTCTTTTAAAATGTAATCCAGTGGCATTTTTCAAATTTTGCTTCCTTGCAATCCTTAAATGAAGAACTGCATAACAAATAGACAAAGTCTGTATTCAACAGAACATCTTAATATATAGATGTTCTGTGATTACGGCCACTTTCCTCCCAGTATAAACACATTTGACTCCTGTTGGTGAGAAAAGAACTGCATCTTGGAAAGTTACAGCTGATGTTTGACACTTGTAGGACAAGACTGGGCATGTTGGAACCTTGACAAGATTAAATTTGATGCTTTGTTAGAAATACACAATCAGTAAAGCCTATTGGGGGGTACAGATCAGGAGAGGCTTTGGGTATTTAGGGGAGGAAGTTAAATCCTCCCTTTTTCATTTCCTAATTTAAATTTCCAATTTTGGATCTGAGGAAATACAATTTGGTGGGGGGATGGGGGAATAAATTTAAATAATGAAAATGGTGTTGGGTTAAATCCTTCTCTTCTGGTGTCATTACTCCAATCCAGTGGTTCCCAGCCTTGGGTAATCCAGGTGTTCTTAGACTGAAATTCCCAGAAGCCTTCACCATCAGCTGTACTGTGGGGTTTTCTGGAAGTTGCAGTCCAAGAATACCTGGATTACCCAAGGTTGGGAGCCACTGCTCCAGTCTGATGCTTGAAACTTTAAAACTTGCCAGTAACTTTACAAGTTCAAGTTGCTTTGCAACTTTAAAAAAGAAGCACCACCCTGTATTTTTCTGTAGCATCAGAGACACTTCTCTGTGGATCTCACCACTGAGTTAAATGGAAAATATTTTGTCGTTGGATTAAAATGCTTGGACAAATCCACCCAATCCTTGGTTGACCATAACACAGTATGATTAATATATGTCTTAATAATAGCTTGGAACTAATTTCAGCTCATTATCATGGTGCAGATTTTTAAGTAAATTACTACAGCTCACAGCCTAAAGCAAAAAGAGTACACAGATACACCAAAATAGCAGAGGTTATGGCTTATATTTTCTATGCTTCCATGGATTTTTTAGCTTGTAACGTGTGTCCTTTAGACATATTACATTTTAATGTACCCAAAGCAAATTAGATAATTGACTTGGTGCCAAAATCATTTATCTCATCTCTTTGATAAAAGGTATAATATAATGTTACAGGATCAGGTGGTGCCATTTTGCATTCAAGATTTAAAAAAAGCCCCAAAAACAGTAACCAGCCCACCAAGGAAAATGGTTATCCATCAACTGGCATTCATATACAGTATCGATGTATCCTTGATGGATTTGGTAATGCTGTCTGCCTAGGGCAAATGGCTGATGTCCCCAAGGGTGATTCCTTTAAAATCTTTCTGGACAAGGAGGAACGAAATAACTGCTTTCAGTACTAAAATAACACTCACCTGGATCCAGTGTTGTCCCACCCCTAACACTGCTACAGCCAAGTGGAATATTTATTGCTTACTCTCCTTTTAAAAAGATGCCTTCCATTACAGAAATTTCTAGTGGGAGATTTTCATGCTAATTTATTGCAGGAAGAAACCCTGTGGCACCTTAAAAACTGCCCAGTTCTATTTGACATAAGCTTTTTCAATAATAAAGCAAACTATGCTGCTTATATACCTTCCCGTGGTGCTTAAAGCACTGTTGGGCAGTTTGCAATTTAATTATGCAGGTTACGAATTGCTGCCACCACCGCCAGCAAGCTGGGTACTCAATTTACTGACTTGGAAGGATGGAAGGCTGACTAAACCTCAGGCTGGCTACCTGAGATTGACCTCAGGTGGAGAGCAGAGTCTTCATTGCAGGACTGCAGTTTAACCACTGTGCCACAAGGCCAAAATAATCTGTTTCATCATGGATCTCATGGAATGGGCTACAGTTGGTGAAAGCTTATGCCGAATAAAACTAATGGGTCTTTGAACTGTGGTTCTTCAAGATTCAACTGTAGCAAAAATATGCTCATGAACATAGCCACAGATTTTTTAAAAAGACCTATTACAACATGAAAGATACAATGGCCCAAATACTCTTACTTAGTTATACGGACGTAACACAAATGACATAACTTTTGGAGGTGAATTGCTCCAAGTCAAGAAATCACCGAGGACATTATCACTTGAAAACAGACATGTATAACTCAGCGTGCAACTGATAATGTCTATGATTATTTCTTAGGCAATTTGCCTCCAAGAGATGTGCCACTTGGGTAGCTACACAAGAGTATTTTGGCCAATGAACCTTAACTTAATCTTAAGCATAAAGAATGGACACAGCCTTGTGAGAAATGATTTATCACTCAACAGTTTCATCACTGAATTAACAGTCATGTGCTATGCTAGCCAAACCTTGATTTCCCTCAGCATCCTTGTTGTAATTCTAGCTATATAAGCCATAACTTCCCTATAATATGCAATTAGACTGCTAAATGAGAATTTCCATTCCAATTTGCTTCTTGAAGCATAGATCAACGGTTTTGCTGTTTTCAATAATTTAATCCCAAATTTACACCTGTCTTTCCCACCCACCACTGGTTCTACTAACCAATGCCTAAGATATGGTCAGGAACGATGCTGAAGTTCCTGACTTTGGAATAGTGGGTGAATGAAAGGATTCAGATGAATTGCAGAAGCAGCAGCTGCATTCAGTTGTGGAGTGAACAAAGTAGGAATAAATGCTGTGTGGGGCAATGGTGGAATCGCCAGATGAGATGGGTGGATGGGCGTCGCTGATACCAAACGGAATGGGTGTCCTGTCAGGAGGGCTGAATGGGAAGGCATGAAGGTTGGAGCGAAAGGTGAAAAAGACATGGGAGCAAAATGAGATTGTGCGAATGGGTGTATATGAGTCAGGGAAAGGTGGCTGCTGTGAGGATGCACTCCAGCAGAGAATGCAAAACTCTGCAAAAGTGTATGGTGGAGGGTAGCAACAGCAGAGTGTTGGTGAATGGGAATGGGCTGAATGACTGGAGATGCAGGAAAGGTGGCTTGTCCCGTAGCAGGCAGAACCTTGAGATGCTTTGCCACAAGTTGCTTCTGCATATGCTGCTGGGCCTGCAGCTGGAGGAATCGGTATTTGTCTATTTCATCAGGGGAAAACGTTATAGGCTGTTGTGTTAAAGGAGAGGAGATGCATTTGCTGTACAGTTCTGTCTTGTTTTCTGTTTCACTCGATTTATGCATAGTGCTGTCAGAGGGACAGTTCAGATGCCCTTCCAGACCCTTCAGGTTCATGCTTGTGTTGTGTTCTTCTTTGGTCTCTGTTAGATTTGGAACAACAGAATATCTGTGAGAAGAAAAAGCACCAGGGAAATCATTTGGCACTGGGTCGCAGCTGTGTAGAAGGGATTGCATTTCACCAGGTAAGAGACTGGACTGCTCCGTTATTGCTGTGTCTTTTTCTACATATGGGGACTGATAGCCAGGCCCTCTTTGAGTTATATCCTTGAGCAGGCGATCGCCATAGTTAGTGCTGGCTGGAAAAGTAAGATTATCTATTGCCATAATGTCAACTTGATCTTTGCCTGCATTGCTTTGCAGTGCAGTGGGTTCATTGTTCCACACTCTGTTTGTATCATGGTGTACGGCTCTCTCAGGTGAAGAGAACATTGCTTCATTGCCTACTGAAGACAAATATTTAATATCAGTTTGACTGTGGGGAATATCTACCCCATAGGGGTTTGAAAAGAGCTCGGTGTTCTGAGTTTGTGCCTGGTTCCTCTTTGAGTTCACCTTCTCTAGAAGTAACTTGGCAGTTAATGACTTCTTTCCCACTGCTTCTCTTTCTAAGCGGTTGAAAGAGCACATTCCAGTACGTTTTGACGGAAAAGTTACATACTGGCAGTCTGAGCGTGCAGACTCTGATGTCCCTGGTTTAGTGCTGTCATCCTTTTCGCATTTGTTCCAGCTGTACGTTGATTCTTTTGCAAGGGATCCCGAACTACTCCCTCTTGATCTGGTGCAACTTGATGATCTTTCACTGCTTCCTGAATCTTGGGTGGAAGAACCTTTGGAACTGCTGTAGCTCCTACCCCTGCTGTGTTTACAGAGAAGGTGTCTATTTCTGCCTGGCTTTGATATGTCTCTTTGTAGTAAATACCTATACCTTGGATGTCTTTGATATTTAACTGTATGACTCTGTGTACAATTTCGAGATTTTTGACTTTTCTCGTGGAAAAGGCAGTCCTCGTCTGCATCATCTGAAGATGAGACACAATTGTGCTTTTTGTGTTTACATTTCTGCCTTTCAACCGGCTTTTGTTTCCTTTTGCAACAAAAAGACAAACGACTTCTGCTGTGATCACTTGATCTGTGACTAGAGTAGCAAGTAGCAAAACTAGTTGCGCTGCTAGCGGAGGTGTCAGAATAATTAGACTGCCTGTCAGACAAGGGGTTTTGCAAAGAAGAAAATTTCCAGCAACCATCCAAACTTCTGTTGTCTGTGTTTGCCACAAATCCACCGCTGGAACCCAAGTTATAACTGAGGATGGAATCTTTCCCGCCATCACTGAGGTCCTCGGTACAGGTAACCAAATCCAGATTGGTTCGTGTTGGGGAATATATTAAATCACATTGGGCACATTTTTGCATGTTTGTCCTAGAAGACACCAAGGGATAGATGCAAATGTTTTCCGTTACTTCATCCTGTAGAGTTTTTTCACAGGTCTGCAAGTGCTGTGCTAAAGATCTCACATGCATTGTGGGACAGGGTCTGATTGCTGTTACGTGATGCCTTTGTGAGCAATCGAGGCAGGCAGGCACTTGTGGTACATTTTCATTCAAATCATCTGAAATATACTTTGGAGCACTTTGATGCATTTCATTCTCTGTGTCTAAATCCAATTTTGGCTGGGGCTGTTTGAGGCTCAAAGCTCTAATCTTCTTTGGCTTTAAGGACCGATTATCTTTTCCACTAGATGGTTGCTGGATCTCACTTAGACCTGAGGCTTCATTTCCATCTATGTCCATTGTGTCTGGGTGTTCTCTTTCTGTGTTGACTTCATGATGTCCGCTGTCTCTGTGGGACAAGGAAAGTCTAAAATCAAAATATAAAGGGTTGCAACCATAGGAAATAGAGGGTTCTGTTTTTGTAAAAAAAAGAAGTTCTGTGGGCCACCGTAAGGCTGTGGTGCCATCTTTACTCAGTACTTGAAGAAAAGGCAATGATTTAGGCTTAATTTCATGAACCACTGCATTACCCCTGGGTGTTTCTGCATTTGTATTCACAGTTTTTGAACAATTAGGAGATTGTTTGAATACAAAGGGACTGTAGTTAAATTCGCATGGATGTCCTTGCTTGGATGAGTCTTGGGTTGATAATAATCTGTCAGAGACATATTCTGCTAATGGGGCATCATTGTGCTTATACGCATTTTGCTGCATACAGACAGTCTGAGTGTGACCCGGAGGTGCAACGAGAGTTTCCAATGACTTCTGATTCTCATCCCAAGATACTCTTCCTTGTTTTCTTACACCAGGAGACGCAGTGCATTCCAAATCTGAAGGATGGATGTTGTTTTTACAAGATGAAAGATGCATTTCCACTTCAGCTTTGTTAATGCTGGGATCATTTTCTTTTTGTGTTTTATTTTTTCCAGCCAAATTGCATGATACAACGATCTCTGAGTGACCTTGAAGCGTGTTTAACCGTTTTTGCACATTTGCTTTTCTCTCGTCACTCATATGTATGCACCCTTGGCACTTTTCAGATCTCTCTTTTGCTTTATGCCTAGGTGATCCAAGACAATCATATGCTTCTTCCATGTTCTCACTGAAAACGGATGCTGATGACTCAAGCTTTAAATGGACTTTTTTAGCAAACGAAAAAGATACCCCAGCTCGATTACAGTTATTGGTGCCACAGGAGAATGATGGAGGGATACGATCTCTAAGCAAATGGCGTCTCTCTACGCAAGACTGGCTTTTGCTTAGCAAAAGTTCCTGTTGCTTCTCTGAAGTACTGCTGGTGAGATTTTGTTTTTCAGCTTCATTTTTGGCTTTTCTTTCTTGACCTAAGAGAAGGTTTTCTTGTGGTTGTTGTTCTTTCTCTACCGTCACTTGGGGGTTTTTACATCCAGTGACACTGAGGGGGAAAAACAACATAGCAAAATCATTAAAAATGATCAGTTTTCAGAAATAGTCTATATTGATACATTATTAGAAAGGAGGGTTCATATTCATATAGAAATACGAAGCCCGCTGACACAGGTGGCTGGCCGGATTAACATCCCACCCCCAGAACCCATCAGACTACTTACCATACAGTACGCAGCGCAAGTGGCCGGTGTCATCTTCAGTGCCCCAATCGTGGCAGTAACCTGGCTGCCACAGCCCACCTCCCTGCTCACCCGGCCACTCCAGCAAGGGGGCGGTAGGATGAGTCTCCCGGCTCAGTTGCAGAGTGGAGGGGCAAGCAAGGAAGCAGGGCTGTGGCAGGCAGGCACTGCCACAATTGGGGCGCAGAGGATTATGCCAACCACGTGCATTGCACATGGTCTGATGGGTTCTGGAATTGCCTCTATACACTATCCATTTGACACAAATACTTATCTTAATATAATAAAATGTAGCAAGACCAATGGTGTTTTGGAGAAAATAAATGAAAATACCTGAAGTGATATGGCCAAAATCTTAAAAAAAGAGATATCTCTAAGTCATTCCAATTGTGTGGGAATTGGTGAACACTCTGATGGCAGGTTTACATTTCTGGGAGTAGTTTGGAATGATATACGGCACCTTCTGGGTATCTGGCACAACTAAGCTGAACTACAGGCGTGCATGTGGTGGCAAAGACATAAAACCCAGAGTATCCCATCTGGTTCAACATAGTGGTTGTATGTCCATGTGGAACAAACTACACTTGCCTTAGTCACATCCTCGCTGGATTACAGTACAACAATCTACGTGGGGCTACTTTTGGAAAGTGTTCGGAAACTTCAGCAGGTCCGAAATGCTGCAGCCAGATTGTTAACTGGGGCTGGTTACAGGGAACATATGTATTTGCCCTGTTACAGCAGTTCCACTGGCCACTGATCCATTTCTGGGCACAATTCGAAGTGCTGGTTTTAACTTATAAAGCTCTAAATAAATGGCTTGGGTCCAAGCTATCCCAGAGACTGTATCTCCCTCTATGAACTTATCCAACTGTTAAGATCAACAGGAGAGGTCTTCCTCTTGGTCCCACCAATCTCACAGGTGTGTTTTGTGGGACACAGGAGAGGGCCTTCTCTGTTGCTGCTCCCAGACTCTAGAACTCCCTCCCATCTTTGTTGTCCTTCTGCAAAAAGATGAAAACCTTTCCCTTCAGACAGGCTTTCTCTTAGCGACTGGCTATCTGCAAGGGTGTTTTAAATGGAACGTTATGCCTTGTTGCTTTGAATCTGTATTTGGTGCTGATTTTGTTTACCATTTTTAGCATGGCATTTGTTTGATTCTTTTTTTAAAACACTTTGTATAGTTGCTGTTTTTAGCTTTTAAATACTGTCTTTTACAGATATATGGCACCTTGGATCATTTGTAAGGAGAAACACGGGGTAAATATATTTAAAATAAATAAGGTAAATAAATTTCTGCATGAGCATGGAGCTCTTAAACTCACTAAGAGGAATAGGGTTTTAAAAGCTGGAGTGTGGCTGCCCCATCAAGGAGAATCTGATATCAGAAGTAGAAGGGGAGCACAGTGTTTGCAAGTACAAAATCAGTATTTTGATACAAATCTCGTTACACAAAGTTCCTGGCCCAGGAAATGACTGTGTCTTGATGTCTTTTAAGAGAGAGAGAATTTGATAATATATATTCTTCAAGATGATGAATAGAATGGTCTGTCCTGCTGTGATACACAACTCATGGCTGCCATATTTGCTAATGAAATTATTTCTTCAGTTTCGAAGCCAGGCTTCTTTCCTTGACTCGGGGGGTCAAATTGCAATGATATAGGAAGGAGTATTGCAGTCCAGCAGTGGACGTGGCTAGAGGGATTGGGTAAGGGTACAAGTGAAGTGGACAGGAGAGTACAGTGGGGTCTTGACTTAAGAACGGCTTGAGTTAAGAACATTTTGACTTAAGAACCGCTCTCATAGGAAAATATTGACTTGACTTAAGTACTTAGATTTGAGTTAAGAACTGAAAAAACACCATGTGGGAGGCAGGGAAAGTGCAAAATTTGAACTTTTAGTTAACTGTTGGCCGGTGAAAAGGGTGCCTGTCTGCTTCCTCACTCCTCCCAGCGTTTAGAGAGTGGATTGGGAGACAGTCTTCAGACTGCCTGGTACTGTACTGCCTGGACTGTATTTTCCAAGCCTTCCCTGAACCTTTCTTGACCTAAGAAAAAAAGAAACAAAATATCCCCCTCTAGTGGTCGAAGGCGGAATAGCAGCTTCCCATTAGTTTCTATGGACGGAAAAGAGCAGATACGGATCAAATGGTTTTCAATGCATTCCTATGGGAAATGCAGATTTGACTTGAGAACTTTTTGACTTGAGAACCGCCTTCCAATACGGATTAAGTTCTCAAGTCAAGACCCCACTGTAGTAATTTATAGCAATGTTGTCTTTTCTCCACCAGGCACCACCTCTTTTGCCCCCACAGGAGGAAGCGCCAATGATATAGTTCTTAAGTATGCAAGGCATAGCTCATTCCCAGCTTGTCTCTTTGGAGTGAGTGTCTGTGCAGTTGATTCTTGTGATATAAGCCAGTGCTTAGCTCCAGCCATGTGTTCCTAGGCTTTAAATAGCCTCTTGCATCTTATCTCTAATCACTAATGAAACATATTGGAAGAAGACACTTATGGGCCACATGGGGAATCACTATGGGCTTGCCCTAAGCTCCAGGCTGAATCTCCTCTCTGATTTACTCAGGATAGGAAGACAGGATAGCAAAGCTCTTGGTACATTGCCCGGAAAAGTTTAATTATCAGGTAACTGGAAAGGAAATGAATAAATGAAAATAAATAATTGTTCACGTTTTACAGTATCTCTTGTGCAAAGTATTAAAGCTACAATTCTCAAACTGCTTACACTGGGCTACATTAATGGAAATCAGTAACTCTACTTGAAATTGAGTTCTTCTTTAGGTTTGTAGCCATAACCCCTTTTCTCAAAGCTGGAATTCTAATACCTATTCACATTGGCATAACCAGTTAAGAAATTGGTGCTGGTTTTTCTGATTTGTGTGCCAGGTCACATGACTGTTGTGCAATGAGAAAAATAAGCATGGACTCCTTAACTCGTGGCAATCTGCTACTGAATTTTATGCTGATACTGTTATGCCAGCAAGTATAACTAATAGGATTCTGGCCAGTAAGTTTCGAGCAGACAGAAGGTTTCCTATTCACTACACTGGATGGACTGTCCTATTCATACAGGTAAGGTTGTGTACATGACTGAAGCCTACCCCCACTCCGACCTCCAGATCAACCAGTGAATTAGGGAGCTGTGCAGTTGAAAGATAGCTATGCATTCAGAAAGCCCCTGGATCAAGTGCAGCCTGTAGTGACAGTTTAACGACGGGAACTGATGAAGCTGTCTTCCCAAGTCATGCCACTGGTCCACCCAACCAGCAATTACTGATAATGACTGACAGTTGAACATGGGGGTCTTTCGCATGTAAATCATGTACTTTGCTATGATGCTATTCAGTGAAGCATGTGTTTCCTGTGTATGAGTTTTCCACTTCAGTCATTATTATCTCCAAGTGAAAGATGTCAGGACTAGAAAATACAAGGAGGAGTGGCTGGCGATCAAAACTGAAAGAGTGATATGTGAGCCAGATGAGCAGACAGACCTCAGTATGGGTTACTGGCAACTCATGTCTGCTCAGACGTATCTGATTTATAAGATTCATGCGTTCAGTGAAGCTTAATCCCAGGAAAGTGTAAAGGATTGTACCTAAGTAATGAAATGGAAGTTGCACAACTGAAGCAACCATTCCTCTGTTTTCTTTCACCATGATTATATTCTGTCAGCACCTTGAAAGGAATTATTTGTTGAGTTGAGACATGTGCAGATTCATGAAAAAATGTGGACTTACAGAAGACACAAAGAAAGACTGAAGGTTTCTTTTTTCCTCTTCCAAGCAAGTTTTACTTTTATATATTGCTAAGTAATAAACTAAAAACAGATTTAATAAGGTAAAGGCCATCTTAATTAACTATTGAAAATTAAAGCTGAATGAAACAGGAGGCCAAATCAGCACCAGATTTGGCGTAAATACAGCAGACCGTCTGCTCGTGCTATGTGGCAAATTTGGGGAAGTTTTGAGTTATGATTTTTTTTAAAAAAGTGAAACTGATTATTCCCTCCACCCAAAGAAGAAACAAGTGACTCTAAATATCTCCAGATTTAAAACAGATCAAATTAATTGAAAATATGAGTCTTGGTTATCTTGAAAGAGAATGACTGGCCCACCTACTTTAAATTGGGATGGATCCAGGTTGCAGTGGCTGAAACATTGATCCTCAAAAAAGTCCTTTCAAAAGGGTAAAACAATGACTTCGTTATAAAATGAGCATGCATGGAACAGGCTTACACCGAATCCTTTTAATGTAGATACATTGGCACAGCTTTGTGGCTAGAAAGGGAGATGTCTGGAGAGCAATGTAAGGCCACCAAAACAGTCAAAAGACTAGTTTTCTTCAAAGAGTTTTTTTTTTGGGGGGGGGGAGGGAAGCTTGGAAGGTTTCTTTTTTCCTCTTCCAAGCAAGTTTTACTTTTATATATTGCTAAGTAATAAACTAAAAACAGATTTAATAAGGTAAAGGCCATCTTAATTAACTATTGAAAATTAAAGCTGAATGAAACAAGAGGCCAAATCAGCACCAGATTTGGCATAGATACAGCAGACCATCTGCTCGTGCTATGTGGCAAATTTGGGGAAATTTTGAGTTATGATTTTTTTTTTTAAAAAGTGAAACTGATTATTCCCTCCACCCAAAGAAGAAACAAGTGACTCTAAATATCTCCAGATTTAAAACAGATCAAATTAATTGAAAATATCAGTCTTGGTTATCTTGAAAGAGAATGACTGGACCACCTACTTTAAATTGGGATGGATCCAGGTTGCAGTGGCTGAATCATTGATCCTCAAAAAAGTCCTTTCAAAAGGGTAAAACAATGACTTCGTTATAAAATGAGCATGCATGGAACAGGCTTACACCGAATCCTTTTAAGGTAGATACATTGGTACAGCTTTGTGGCTAGAAAGGGAGAGCAATGTAAGGCCACCGAAATAGTCAAAAGACAAGTTTTCTTCAAAGAGTTTTTTTTTGGGGGGGGGGAGCTTGGTTTAAATAAAGTAATTGAGTGACAATGCTCTGGAAAGAGCCATTATGCCATGTATCTCCAAGGAATTAGCATACAAATTTGTAAGGCATATTAAAAGTATTTTTGCATTACAGAAGCACAAACCAGTTGTGTCTGCCCTGCCCTGAGTGCTTTCAGCAAACATTTCTGAAGCCAGGCTCCTGATACCAGTCTCCAAATAGGAAATCAGCTCGAGGTCTGGGGCAATCTGATCTTTTGACCCTGCCAGTTAGGATGCTGTTAGAACAGGATGTTTGGTTTGTGCCTTCTTCAGCTGCTTTGAATCAGTGTGCTAGACTCAATATGGTAGCTATAGAATACCAAAGAAAAAAGAAAGAGGATGGACTACCCCAAACAGATTATAGATGAATATACATATACAGCAGCAGCAGTATCTATATACATTAATACAGATGCATAGACTATATATAGATACACGGCTGGATCCAGATTTAAAGATCATTACAGTAGACCTATTGAAAACAATGGGTGTTATGTTAGCCATCACGCATCTACGTAGGAGGATACACATGTAAAGACTAATGCCTAAAGAGCTATTATGTTGTTGAGAGCAGTTCCATTGAAATACGTAATTGGGTCTGAAATTAGTCATAGCTAACTTAAATCCTAATCATTTAAATAGGTATTACTCAAGATATGAACACACTTAGACTGATCCCAATAACACTAAAGCAATGTATTCTCAAAAGCTTTCACGGCCGGGATCTGATGGTTGTTGTGGATTTTTTGGGTTCTTTGGCCGTGTTCTGAAGGTTGTTCTTCCTGACGTTTTGCCAGTCTCTGTGGCCGGCATCTTCAGAGGACTGGAGTAGGAACTCTGTCCATGCCAGGACAGAGTTCCTACTCTGCATGGACAGAGTTCATACTCCAGTCCTCTGAAGATGCCAGCCACAGAGACTGGCAAAACGTCAGGAAGAACAACCTTCAGAACACGGCCAAAGAGCCCGAAAAACCCACAACAACACTAAAGCAGCTTCTAAGGGCGCATTCAGTGAACAAAGTCAAAAAGCTTAGGTTAAGATCAGTGTATTGCAGTCATTGAACCATTCTTCCCCTTCTGAACCTCTCTCTCTCTCTCTCTTTTTTTACATTGCAAATATTTGGCTCCCTAACCTCAGCTCTGTACTATTAAAAATCATTTTGTTAGGATCAGGTTGGGGTGTGGAGGAGGGAGAATAAAAACTACAGCCTTCAAATGTCAAGGAATTAATGCAGAGCTTCCATTTTTATGGCTTGTAGAGCAAAGTGTTTGATTCAAGGATAGAGAGGGGAGGAAACGGTTTGCACAGCATGTGATTATGATCTGTGCATTATATAAAGCGGGAGTAAAGTTATGAAGATTTCTTCCAGGACTGCTGGCAAGGGAGGCCGGGGGGTGGGAGAGAGAAAGGATTAAAATATAAATGAGTTCCAAAAGCATACCATTCCGACTGCTTCCGCAGCTCAGCCAGCTGATGAAGTCGTTTGAGTGCTTTTTCCTGTTTCTTCTCATCTTTCCAGGACTTTGAAGCCACATTCCGAGCAAATTCCCTCTGTTTTAGCTCCTTCAGCCTCTGTGTAAGAGAAGTACAAGAATAAAAGACAAGGCACCGCTTCTTAGCTCGCTTGTCATTTCAGTTCCCGCACATGCAACAAGAGAAGATACAAGAGGTAAAACTGATAAAATGCAATTATGGTTTAATATGTATTTTCCAATAAGGTTCAGCTGTCTTCATTGTGGGAATTTGCTTCATCGTTCAACTGGCACAAAAATGCAACTTTATCTGGCATAAGGTGAGTCTGATATAACCCAACACAGCAGGAAAAAGGAGCCACAATTTAGGAAGTGCTAAAAGCAATTGCAGCATTAGGTTGTGATCCAGAGGAGGTGGTAAATATGTGAATGGTTTTGTGGAGGGACAGTTATTGCCCTTTCAGCAGCTGGTACCATGGAACAGGACAATTGCAGCTTTCAGTTGCTGAAGGGAACTGAAAGCAATTTATGGTTCTTACTGAGAACTGTTACTCCTGCTTCCCAGTGAATATGCTGTAGGTTATCAGGAGATGGGCCAGTACATGCCAGTGGCCTCCCAGCCAAAATATACTAGAACTGCAAAGACAGATCTAGGAATGTGCATTTTCAATTTGCTTGGATTACAAATTCCACAATTCTCCATTCTAGGAGGCTCAACTGAAGGACCCAGGCATTACAGACAACTAATTTGTGTTCACCTGGGTAGAAGGCATTCTAGGAGGCTCAACTGAAGGACCCAGACATTACAGACAATTAATTTGTGCTCACCTGGGTAGAAGGCCAGCTGATGGGCCTGATGCCTTGGATAGGCCTAACTTCTTGTTTGAAAAAGGAAGTTGCCTGATGGTTATTAGGTTTCCTTTTCAAACAAGATGTTAGTCCTACCCCAGGTATGAAGCATGCCAGCTGCACCTTATACCAAGGTAAGCACAATTTAGTAGCTGGTTGTCTATTTTCCACGCAACGGAGTGAGCTCCCGTGGCTTGTCCCAGCTCCTGCCAACCTAGCACTTCGAAAGCATGCAAATGCAAGTAGATAAATAGGGACCACCTCAGTGGGAAAGTAACAGCGTTCCCTGTCTAGTCGCGCTGGCCACGTGACACGGAAACTGTCTACGGACAAACAGTGGCTCTATGACTTGGAAACGGGGATGAGCACTGCACCCTAGAGTTGGACACGATTGGACAAATTGTCAAGGGGAATCTTTACCTTTGCCTGTCTATTTTCCTCATGAATGTCGATTGGACAAATTGTCAAGGGGAACCTCTGCCTGTCTATTTTCCTCTTGAATGCTTCCAGCACTGGTGCATCCACCAGTTCTTGGTAACTGCTTGCATAGTCATATTGTTATAACAGTTAGGAAACAAAAAGATTGCTGGAACCTACAACCAAATATGAACTAATTTGAATACCATCCTTTGTATGTGTGTGTACCCAATTGTTGTATGATTTCTTATGGATGAGAAAATTATTGAGTGCAGAAATAACTACTGTGTATACAGTGGTGCCTTGCTTGACGAGGATAAGTTGTTCCGTTGAAATCGCTGTTAAGCGAAATCCTCATCAAGCGAAACGAAAAAGCCCATTGAAATGCATTGAAAACCGGTTCAATGCGTTCTAATGGGCTAAATACCTCAGCGTCTAGCGAAGATCCTCCATAGGGGTGGCCACTTTCGGTGCCTGTAAAGCAAGGAATCCGTACTAAATCACAGTGGGGAGCCATTTTGCACAGCGGGCAGCCATTTTAGAGCCACCGATAAGCTGTTTTAAAAATTGTTGTCTAGCAAAAAATCATTGTTAAGCAATTTTTCCCTATTAGAACATCGTTTTGTGATTGCAAAAGCGATAGCAAAAACTTCATCGTCAAGCGGTTTCATCGTTTAACGAGGTAATCGTTAAGCGAGGCACCACTGTACCTAGAACTGAAAACTCTGTCCTCACCACTCACAAACATATGTGCACACACCCACACATGCACCCATGGGTTCACATTTTGTGTACAGGCAATTTCCTTGGCCACCCTTGGAGCTGACACATGGTTCATATAGCTAGTCAAGGAGTGGCCAAACTGTGTGGACAGGGGGTGTTGGAGGTAGGGAGAAAGGTGCCGGGGCCACCTTCCTTCTTCTCCCCTACCTTCTTGGTCAGTGTTCTGGGGGCTGCACATGGTGTTTCTCTTCCTGACTCAGGTCACTAGAAAGCTCAGGCAGAGTCTGCCGTGTAAACCCTACGATTGGGCAATGGCAGTGAAATTATTGCCTCAGATTGCTTGTAAGAGCTGCCAGTGAACAAATTCCAGCTTCCCTCTTTCTACACCTGAGCACATCAGCCCTCCCTGCAAGTCTGGCATTTACTTGCTCATTCTAGATATCTGACTCACCAAATCAGTCTGAATTGCTGTGGACCATTTCATTTTGCTCCAGAACTGAATCTGACCATTCTTTTTTGAGCTGGACCTCATACAGATCAGGGTGATTTCATTCACATGTGGCTGAAGCTACTGCCCTGTTGCTATTTGGCTGCTTCTATGTTCTAACCAACAACAGTTTACAAGACAATATTAGATGGGGATCTACATACTGTACTTGCATTCAACCATGCTTGATGGAACGAAAAAAGAAAAGTTAAATTGTATTGTTGGAAATGAAACCAGCACTGCAGATGAATACATCTCAAAATATTTCCCTATGCAACATCAACAAATAGCCACTGAATGAGCCTTAATGGTTGTTGTTTAGTCATTAAGTCGTGTCCGACTCTTTGTGACCCCATGATCCAGAGCATGCCAGACCCTCCTGTCTTCCACTGCCTCCCGGAGTTGGGTCAAATTCATGTGGGTAGCTTCGATGACATTGTCCAACCATCTCATCCTCTGTTGTCCCCTTCTCCTCTTGCCTTCACACTTTCCCAGTGTCAGGGTGTTTTCCAGGGAGTCTTCTCTTCTCATGAGATGGCCAAAGTATTGGAGTCTCAGCTTCAGGATCTGTCCTTCCAGTGAGCACTCAGGGTTGATTTCCTTTAGTATAGATTGGTTTGTTCTCCTTGCAGTCCAGGGGACTCTTAGACAAAGAGTCTGAGAGAAATGAGCCTTAGAGAAACACACAAACAAAATGTGCAACAGGGGCATTTGTTTTGCTAACCAACTGGGCAAAGAAGCCTGCATCATTTCCATTCTAACAGCATTGCTGCTGAACAATAACAAATAATGGCACTCATCCATAAGGGCACTCAACCAACATGCTCAGGTTGGGAATTAACATGCAATCTAAGCATGCAATTACATTTTTGCATGCCATTAGGTACCTAACTGATTGGAGAGACCTAGTCACAGGTGCCAAAGCATGATTTATTAATTTTTTAAAAGTCCACTGCCTGGTCCTTGGTTCCTGTAAATAACAACAGTAGGATATCTGCAGCTTGGTTGCATGAGTTGTTGCAATGAGTAATAAGTGCATTAGAATAGGCAAAGAAGTATGTATGCCTGCACAACTTGTGCCATTCTAAAACTAACCAGGGTAATAGCAAGCACAGCAGCATGAATCAGTATCACTCTTGTTTGAAACAGGTGCCATCATCACATTCCACCACCAATGCAGAGTAATGCTTGTATAGACCTGTTGAATCTAATAAGCTAAACCACACTTAAAGCACCATTGATAGGCTATAGCCTTAGACTGGAGTGGAAAACCTGTGGGATATTGGCCTTTAAAAAAAAAAAATTACACATAGCTGCCTCCACATTCAATGCTGTAGGGAAAACAAAACAAAGAAACAACCCTCTTACATCTCTTTGTGCTCAGTTTGCTTGTACGCCCTGCCAGTGAGCAAAGACAGCTGCTAAGAGCCACAAAGGCCGAATGTTGATAGCAAATGTGCTGGTGGTGGAAAGCTTGGCATTGGGCACCAAAATGTGGCAACCCCCAGTGGGTTGGGGAATGCAGTGTGAACTTGGACACCAAGAAATTGCCCACCTAGAACTTATAGCTTAGCTTTCATGGGGAACGGCAGAGCCTGTGGAACACATCCAATTCAGTAAAGTTTCTCTTCCATAGAAGCTCCTCTCCTTTTCTGTGGAATGCTCCCACCCCATGAGTGAATGAACACAAAGGTCCTTTGTGGACTAGGACAGTGGTTCTCAGTCTTGGAGAACCCAGGTGTTTTTGGATTGCAATTCCCAGAAACCCCAGCCAGCATAGCTATTGGTGAAGGCTTCTGGGAGTTGCTGTCTAAGAACATCTGGGTTACCTGAAGTTGGGAACCACGGGACTAGGGAATAGTACTTGGTTGGCTAGATTCTGTTAAGTCTGTCCTTCAAGTAGCTGGCTGAAAACTAGCCAACTAGCAAGCCTAGCTCCGCATCGAAATGAACTATGCTCTCCATTTCTTTGCTGGTACTAGCCAACTAGCAAGCCTAGCTCCGCATCCAAATGAACTATGCTCTCCACTTCTTTGCTGGTATTAGCAAAGGTAAAGGTCCCCCTTGACAATTTATCCAGTTGTGTCCAACTCTAGGCGGTGGTGCTCATCTCCATTTCCAAGCCATAGACCTAGCGTTTGTCTGCAGACAATCATCCGTGGTCACGTGGCCAGCGTGACTAGACATGGAACACTGTTTACCTTCCCTCCAAGGTGGTACCCATTTATCTACTCACATTTTTGCATGCTTTTGAACCGCTAGGTTGACAGGAGCCGGGACAAGCGACAGAGGCTCAATCCGTCACGTGGATTCGATCTTACGACGGCAGGTCTTCTGACCTTGCAGCACAGAGGCTTCAGCGGTTTAACCCACAGCGCTACCACGTTCCTTTTTTGCTAGTATTAATTGACCTTTATTATTAAAATCATTATCATGTTTGGCAAGGAGGCTGCAATCCCACCTTATGAGGTAGCAATACAGCTGTGCTGATATTTGAGTATATAAGCATGCAGTCAAACTGGAAGCCCTGTTTACAACTATTTTTAAATCTCTGTTCCAAAGCTAGATGCACCTCCTCATGACAAAAATGATATATTAGACATGGAGGCAGGAAACACAATTTT